TAAATCCCAGTTTTTTCTGACTATGATGAGACTATATGAATAGATAGATCAAACATAACATTTAAGTTTGCAGTGTGTGTAGATGAGACGTGCAAGAAGTTAATATTCCAGCTGGGTGTGCTAATACCGGAGCTGATCACAGGACAGTCCTCTGAAGATGGGGGCAGTGAACTGGTGAAATGGGTTCAAGAATCTCGTTTCAGGAAATCGATATATAGAGTGTTAGATCCCGACCTCGGAGATGATTATGATTCCCAAGAACTTGGTGGTCTTCTAAGAGTGGCAAGGCTGTGTGTAAATTCCATTAATAAGCCAACAGTAAAGACCCCTCAGATTCTGCGGTATGTGCAGAACAAAATAAGGGTCAATGAAGATGATATTCATTGAAAAGTATACCAAAGAAAAGATGAAACTGTAATGTTATGAATGGAACAAGGTAATTGGTTGGGCTCGACTCCAACGCCTCAAGCTGTTCCGGGCGGAGCGAGCCGGGGATCAGCGAAGCGAATGTACAGTCTCCCTTTGACGAAGGGATTTTGGCATGACGAAACAAATGTACAGACTCCTTGAGCTGCACGTAAGTATATATGTAGAAAGAATATTTTCATTGAATAATTGTGTAGAGAATACATCAATATATATTAGAAGCTTCAATCCTAATCATAGTAGGAGAGCCACATTAGGAAATCTATACAAGTATGGTAACACTATAACTACAAGAATAATAAATATATTTAATATATTTAGCATGCTCCCGGCTACGTCGGATGTGGAGGAGGTCGGATGCCTAGGCTGGATTTGAACTCGAGGAAGAGCAGGGACGGTAGGCCTTTGGTGAAGATGTCAGCATACTGGGAAGAAGAGGGCACATGAAGAACACGAACCTGCCCAAGTGCTACTTTGTCCCGGACAAAGTGTATGTCGACCTCCACATGTTTGGTCCGCTGGTGCTGTACCGGATTTGATGATAGGTAGACGGCGCTGACAGAAAACAAGGGTGGCACGTCGGAGTGGCTGTTGTAGCTCAAGGAGAAGGTTGCGGATCCACGAAGTCTCAGCTACGGCATTCGCCACAGCCTGGTACTCGGTCTCGGCACTGGATCGGGAGGTAGTGGCCTGGCGCTTGGATGACCAGGAGACCAAGTTGTCGCCTAGGAAGACGCAGTAACCAGAGGTGGAGCGTCTAGTGTCAGGACATCCAGCCCAGTCTGCATCAGAGTAGGCCTGCAAAGAGTCTGTAGTGGATCGTGTCAGATGAATGCCATGGGTGGCCGTGCCCTGCAGGTAGCGGAGGATCCGCTTCATGGCCGTGAGATGCACGTCCCTAGGTGCATGGAGGTGAAGGCAAAGCTGCTGGACGGCATAAGTGATGTCAAGTCGAGTAAAAGTGAGATACTGCAGAGCTCCAACAATAGACCTGTACAATGTCGGATCAGGAAGGGCCGTCCCAGCTGAGGAGGATAATTTTGCCTTTGTGTCCACTGATGTAGAGATGGGGCGACAGGAGACCATCCCAGCCCGCTCGAGTATGTCATGGGTAAACTGAGTCTGATGGAGGAACATCCCAGTGGAGGTGCGATGGACATTGATGCCGAGGAAGAAATGTAAGTCGCCCATGTCTGTCATGGCAAACTCAACCTTGAGTTTCCGAATGATGCTCTGAAGGAGTGCAGGTGAAGAGGCAGTGAGAACGATGTCGTCGACATAAAGTAAGAGATAGGCTGTGCCTGTGGCATGAGAAAAAGTGAAGAGGGACGTGTCAGACTTGCACCCTTGGAACCCAATAGTCTGAATGAAACCTGCAAACCTGTGATACCATGAGCGAGGTGCTTGCTTGAGGCCGTACAAGGCCTTTTTGAGCTTACAGACATGATGAGGGCGTTTGGCATCCTGGAACCCAGATGGCTGACTGGCATACACGGTTTCCTGAAGCTGGCCATGGAGGAATGCATTTTTGACATCTAGCTGATGAATGGGCCAACCGCGAGACAGAGCAAGATTAAGGACGATGCGGACAGTGGCAGGCTTGATAACGGGGCTGAACGTTTCACCGTAGTCGACGCCAAAACGCTGATTAAAACCACGAACAACCCATCGGGCCTTATACCTGGTTAACTCACCTGAAGGGCCAAGTTTGTGTCTGAAGAGCCATTTACCGGTGGTGATATTTTGTGTGGGGGGAGGGGGGTACTAATTCCCATGTGTCATTCTTGATCAAAGCATTATATTCATCACACATAGCCATAGTTGTTAAGGCGACTAGGCGAGTCTAGGCGCTCGGGTACCTTCTAATCGCCTAAGCGATTAGGCGTCCGCCTAGGCATCCTCTAGGCGAGTGGCTATGACAACTTTAATATTTTATAGGTATTAATATAAAAGCATATAATATGAAATAAGTAATTAAAGAGAACATATGAACCCCAAAAAATAAAGAGTATATATTCTAAAATATATGAATGAATGTTGTTTTTCAAAAAAAAAATAAAATTTAAAAATATATTAAGAAAAATAAGTAAATATTTTGATATTTCTAAACTTTTTAAAAGTGAAATAGTATTTGGGCCCAATGCTCTTTTAATAAACAACTATATTAATAAGTGTAAAGGCCCACTCCTCTTTGAATAAACTCAGCCCAAATTAGTTAACCTAAAATAACTAATTGGAGAGTTAGAGAGTCGGAGGGTTTAGAGGAGCCGCTGGATATCTCGGCAGTTGCGACAATGAATCAGCGTCGGCAAGTAAGGTAAGCTCGATCTTCCTCAGTCTCTCTCTCTCTTTCGTCTTCTTCAGATCTTCTTCTCCTCCTTCTTCCTCTCTCAGCTTCTTCCAGTCATCTTCTCCGGTGTTTGCACAAAAAAGGCTAGGCGAGCAGTTAGGCGTCCATATGACCTCGCCCAGACGCCTAAGCGTCGCCTAGGCGACGCCTTGATAACTATG